TAGGAGTCTTGTCCTCTGCAAAACAACAACAATACCGTCCCCGCACCTGGCTCAGACATACCCCAACTCATCAGACACACGATGGAGACCGCGAACGTCTTCGGGAGGCCAAAGATCCGCCTTTCAGAAACCAAAATTCGGTTCTGGTTAACAAACGTCCCGCGCCAAACAGTCCAAACCCTCCAAGCAGGGTTTTTGACTTCCCAGTCACCGAGTCAGCTCCTACCAGTCTGTTTCCCTTTCTTCACGCTTGGCGTCGCATCACCTCGGACGAATGGGTGCTCTCCATCTTGACCCGAGGTTAGAAAATTCAGTTCCAACAGAACCCCAATACTCCTGTCGTTGTCTCCACGCCCCCTTCCCCTCCTCTCCTCGAGGAGGTGTCCGTCCTTCTGCAGAAGGGAGCCATCGAACGTGTACCACCACACATTCAAGGGACGGGATTTTATTCCCGATACTTCACAGTCCCGAAGAGAGACGGAGGCGTTCGACCCATATTAGATCTAAGGGAACTGAACTGTTTTGTGACCTACCACCACTTCCGCATGGTAGCCACTGCTTCGCAGACACGTTTGGATGGCCACTCTTGACCTCCAAGACACATATTTCCACCTTACTATCCACCCCTTCCACTGCCAATACCTACGCTTTGCGATTGGTCAACACCACTATCAATATACAGCCCTTCCATTCGGCCTTTCCAGTGCCCCAAGAGTCTTCACAAAGACCATGATTGTAGTTGCAGCTTTCCTACGTCTCTGGGGCGTGTCCGTCTACCCATACATTGACGATTGGCTTCTGGTGGCGCCTTCGGAAAACGCCCTGGTCTCAAACGTCACAGAGACACTGGCACTACTGGACAACCTGGGCCTACGAGTCAATCAACAAAAGTCTCACTTGTGCCCTGTCCAGCGCATACAGTACATCGGCGCAATACTGAATTTACAGACGTGCATGGCTTACCTGCCCCACGACAGGGCAGAAGATATATTGCCCTACACCTATGCAACCTTGCAATCCAGTTGTGGGACTTATGCATCACCAACAACATATTCCTCGTGGCCACTCACATTCCAGGACACATGAGCGTGCAGGCAGACCATCTAAGTTGAATGGGACTCAGCCTTCACAAGTGGGGGATGAACCCAACATACCTCCTCCCACTCTTCCACAAGTGGGGAGTTCCCGAAGTCGATGTCTTTGCAAGCAGAAACAACAAAAAGTGTCCTCTGTTCTGCAGTCGAGGATGCAAGGACCCACAATCTCTGGGAGACGGTCTCCTTTAACCTTGGTCATCGGGACTTCTCTACCTGTTCCCCCCCTTACCTCTGCTTCTGAGAGTGGTCCGCAAAATTCTCAAAGACAATGCAGACTGTATCTTAATAACCCCATGGTGGCTGAGACAACCTTGGTTTTCAGCGGTCCTCGAGTTCTCACAGGTGATATACCATCACTTCCCCCCAGCTCAGGACCTCCTCCTTCTCTCAGACTCCCCCGTCCTACATCACAACATACCACAGTTGAAACTGACAGCTTGGCAGATAACATCACCGGCTTCTCCTCACGCGTAGTGAAAGTCCTTTTGAATTCCAGGAGGCCTACTACGTGCAAGTCCTACGATTATAAATGGAGAAGATTCTGTTCTTCCCTAGGTGATGATGCCCCTCGAACCACCTCAGTGGGTCTCGAAAGGGTTTTCCGATTTCTCCTCTCCTTAGCTGACTCGGGACTTTCCCATTCGTCGTTAAGAGTTTATTTGGCTACTCTCTCGGCCTACCATGCTCCAGTTGACGGATGCACTTTGTTTTCTCATCCGATTTCCAAACGGTTTTTAAAAGGTTTATTACACTTCTACCCTCCTGTCAAAACTCCAGTCGCTCCCTGGGACCTTCCTCTAGTTCTACGCCAGCTCATGAGGAAGCCCTTCGAGCCGCTTGCAACATGCAACCTCAAACTCCTCGCATGGAAAACTGCCCTTTTAAATTGCCATTACCTCGGCTAGGCGAGTGGGAGAAATATTGGCTTTCCGGCACGATACACCTTTCCTGTCCTTTCTCCCAGACGGAGTCCGCCTCGTTCTGGACATCTCTTTCCTCCCGAAGGTGGTGTCAGAGTTCCACCTGCAGGCGGAGGTCTTTCTCCCTAACTTCTTCCGAAACCCAACGTCAGTGGAGGACAGATTATTACACACCTTGGACGTGAAACGGGCTCTCCTGTTCTACCTCAGTAGAACACATCCAACTAGACGAGACTCACAACTATTTGTCTCGTACGCTCCGGCACAACTGGGTACGCGCATCACGACCCAGTGCCTGTCAAAGTAGATTGTAGGTCTAATCCATCTATGTTACCTACTCACCAAACAGCCATTGCTTGGCCATATCAGGGCTCATTCTACCAGGTCTGTCGCGACTTCCACTGCCTTCCTCCAGGACATTTGCAAAGCCGCTACCTGGGCCATGCCTAACACCTTCATCAGGCACTACGCCCTAGATGTCTGTACCAATGCGAATACCAACATGGGACGTCACATTCTGTCTTTGGCTACGCAGTAAAAGACCTGCCAGCACCCTCCTCCAGGTAGGCTACTGCTCGCTAATCTCCCATGGGTGTGAAGCACAGAGACCACATCGAAGATAAACAGGTTGCTTACCAGTAACTGGTGATCTTCTAGCAATGGTGAAAAATAAGAAATCAGTCATCTGTGCATTCACACCACCCGCCCTCCTTCCCCGCTGCTGTCAGCGTCTACATTTTTGAATAGGGGTTGATTTGCGGCGGTTTGTAGGAACTGGCGGGATGTCCGCGCCCACCCCTCTGGGCATGCGCAGTGGGGTTCCTGCGCATGCCCAAGGGACTGGGCGCGAAAATCCGTTGAAAGAGCTTGCTACAGCACCGATTGATCCAGCGCGTGCGCACTAGATCCCATGGGTGTGAATGCACAGATGACCACTCGAAGATCACCAGTTACTGGTAAGCAACCTGCTTTTTTATTTTATTTATTTTATTTGTATCCCGCCCTCCCCACATAGCAGGCCCAGGCTGGGTTCCCACATAAATATATAAAACAACGGTCAAAATCGACTTAAAATAGGTCAGAACGAAAATGCAGATTATAATTTCAGTGCTTCTAACCAGCACCTCAAAAGATGGAAGTCTAGTGTACTTTGTACAAGCTCAGAGGCCCTTTCAGGATGACTTCTGTGTGAGTCTAGCAGGCTAAAAAATTTTAAAAAATTATGCACCATTTCTGCCTCATCCGTCCCCCGTCCCCCCCCAAAACAAGCCAAGTCTTTTCCTTCCGGGAGCTGAGCTCAAGTGTGTCAGCCGCCTCTCCTCCCTCCCTCCCTCCTTTCCTCTTCCCCCGCCGCTGGTTGATCTGCAGTGCCGGCATGCAACGCTCCTGGGATTGGTTGTGTCTGGCTCAATCCCGCATCTTATTTCTCTGGCCTGAAAATGTCAGATCGCATCTCCGCAGCGGTGCCATCCCACCCTTGCCGAGAGCACGGTGCAGGCGGCTTCCAAAGTTTCCAGCCCTTTGGGGCTTACCAGTTGGGGGGTTATTCTGTCCTCTCGAGCGGTTCTCTTGTCTCCCCCCACCACCAACTTGCATGTTTCTTGTGGAGGGTTTCTGATTTCAAGGCATTCTGGTTGCCGAATCTGCCTGACCAAAATATATAGGGTGCTGAAAAGCCTCCCCCCGCTCCCCCGGACATGACGCTGAAACAGCTCCTGTTCAGCCTGTGCTACTAACACCATAGGACGGGGTTCCCGAGAAGCCAGCCTTTCAGGTGCCTTAGGAATCTGTGTTTGATCAGAATGGGTGCCCCCATGGGAGGATCCCCCCCCCCATTTTGACTCTAGTCAATAAGTCCTAAATCGGATGCAAGGAATAAATGCGCTTAAGCAACTGCAGCCGTTTTATGTTTCCAAATGTTCCGTCACGCCCGAGTGTTCTTCTGCAGAGAATTTAGAAGGGATTAAAAATAATAATAGTAAGATAAAGTCGGTAAGGTGGAATAAGTCCCTCGGGCATGTGAACAGTCCAAGAGTTCACACCCAGCTTTGAAAGCGGAGCATTACCATAATCCTTCCTCGCTTGCCCGCTTCCTGAGAAAACCGGGGACCGGTTCACGCGTCTGGTGTCAAATGAGGATCACAGATCAAACACTGTGGGCCTAAGTCTCTGTTCTTCTCCGGGGGCTGATCACTCTAGCAATGGCGAAAAATAAGAAATCAGTGTTTCCTGCTGCTCTCAAGATTCGTGAATCAAAGGAGTTGCTTTTCAGTAGGGTCAGTGTTCAGGGGCCAGTAGCCAAGCAGGGTTGCCAGTCTCCAGGTGGCAGCTGGAGATGCCCCATAATTACAACTGATCTCTGTGCAACAGAGGTTAGTTTCCCTGGAGGAAACGACAGAACAGAACCTTTATGGCACATAAAATCAGTAAGATAAAACTTCATCACGCTAAAATTACATCTATAAATCTTAGAGCACACCAATATTAAGAATAGTTTCTTGCTACCAAAATCTTAGACAAAAATTCAGCAATCTGTACAGTCACTTCTGGTGTCTTATCAGCAAGGAGAAACCTGATTGTGTTATCAGAGTTGATCCTTGACAGGAGGGGCTTAATCAAAAGTAGTCGGAGATATGAATGGAGGAAATGACGTCTTTGGAAGGTGGACTGCGTGGCATCACATCCCCTCGAAGTCCCCCTCCTCCCCGAACCCTGTGACCTTCCCAGGCTCCAACCCCCCCCCCTAAAAAATCTCCAGGTATTTTCCAACCCATGGTTGGCACCCTGATAGTCAGTGACATGGATGTGTGGATGAATCAAGTCCCCAAAGGGGCATCGTGAATGTGAAGTGGTCTTCCATCTAAACAGACTCACCTTGTGGGGCTCCAGACAGACTTGAAGCCTCTTCATTTTACAGATCTAATTCTCAGGAAGTAACTTTTGAAAAAAAATAACGTTTCTCTCTCTCTGTCTCTCTCCACAGCTATTGAAACACAGAGTACCAGCTCAGAGGAGATTGTGCCCAGCCCTCCTTCGCCCCCCCCTCTGCCCCGAATCTACAAACCCTGTTTCGTGTGCCAGGATAAGTCGTCCGGCTACCACTATGGGGTCAGTGCCTGCGAAGGATGCAAGGTGAGGAATGGGAATACCAGCAGGGCATTGGGGGGTGTGTGTGTTTGGCCTCCGCTGCAGGGGAAAATATGGGCAACGTTGATTTGTTGGGGGCACATCGTGCTCTGCTAGAAACCTTCTCCTTTAGCCTCTTGAAAGACTGCACCGTAGAGGAAAGCGAAATTTGGAGAGAGGCGCTGGGATGCCTTGAGAGTAAGGAAGGATGGAGCAGAGCTTTGCAGATCCCTTTGGCCTTGGCGTATTGTTGCTGCAAACAGAACATGTTTGCTACAGCCACTCTATATGCCATACATTCCCTTTGGGTTTTTTTGCTCCAGGGCTAGTATTGTTACAATGGCAGTTTTGGTTACTGCTGAAGGAACAGAGCAATAGTTGCATGCGCTGGGGAGGATACAGGAGTGGAAAGGCACAAGCCAGGCCCGTAGCTGTGGTGGGGCTTTTGGGGACTCCACCCCCTTTCTTAAAGGCACAGCCCCAGAAGAATTTCTCCTGTACATGCTTTTTTCAATCATTAAAAATAAATAAATAAAGGTGTGCGCTCCTTTAAGCAGACTGAGGTACTGTAATTGACTAATTCCCACACTGAGCAAGGGGGTTGGAGTAGGTGACCTCTAGGATCCCTTCTGAGTGTCAAAAATGTGGTCTCTTTTAAGAGAGTTTTTCTGCCTAAGTGTTAGCTTTCTTGGCTATAGAAGTCCTCACCCCCACCTGCCGGCTTGTGACCAGAATTGTTGCTTAGGCTGGCAGAAGTGATGAACTTGCAGCAGCTGAGAACTGTCATCTCAAGTGGTTGACAGCTTGCAGTTTAGAGGTCTAGCCTGATAACAGCTTTTCTATTGGCTAAATGGCTTTTATTTCTGCACTGAGAACTTCAACCCCACCAGAGAAAAAATTGCCCCACGAGCCCCAAAATCCTGGCCAGGGGCCTGGCACAAGCGCTCACCCCGCTCTCCCACCAGGAATCAGTGCTATTACCTCCGCCACACCTTTGTATATTGTTGTTCTTCAAAGGAAAGAAAACCATTACAGAGGATACAGGAATACACAAGAGTCTTTCTGTGCAAGCATTTTATTCCTTCTCTCATCTTCCAGTGACACGCGCACACTTCCTTTTAAAGGCTGAGGGTACATGCTAGGCTGTGCAGTGAAAATAATCAAGGTTCTTGAGTTACCATGAAGACCCACATTTTTCTTATCAACGGCCTCTAAGCTTACTTTCGTTGGAAGAAAATGTTGTCCCCTTAAAACAATCCATGTATTCCTTTGCCCTGGGTCTCAGCGTGCTGCGTCTCTCCAGTCATACTCCATTCTTGCGCCGAGCAGGCAGCTGGACCGGACGGATCGGGTTGGCAGGGGATCAGGTTGGCAGAGATCACCCTGGGCGAGCCATGCCCGGCATTGTGTGCCCTAGACCCTACCAGCAAATCTGCTTCCTTTGCTCATTAACATGAGGTCCTTTGTGCTCTCATTTGCATGGAAGAAAGGGGCTTTTTCTTTCCCCACCAGGAGTCCCTTAATCCCATTAGGGGGACTTGGCTGAAGTTGTCCTCCTTCCCCTCTGCCAGGGCCAACCTGAACCAGTGGGGTTAGGGTTCTGCTGTGCTCTCACTCTCTCACTCCCCCCCTCCCTCCCCCAGCAGTTCCAGTTGTTCTGCAGGGGCAATCTCTTTTTTGTGTTTTAAGCATAAATTACTGCTTCCATTTTCTTGTCTTCTGGGGGGGAAATGTGACACAACAAATGTTGTGTATTTCATACACCTCAAGGCTTGCATTTGCACACAGCAACATCCTGAGCAATGCAACTTATCAGTCTTTTTAAAAAAATCAAGTATGTAGTCCTCATGCTGTGTAGAAGTTCCCCCCCCCTCTTCTGTTATATGGATAAACATATGGAGCAGAGGTCCATCAGTGGCTATTAGCCACAAGGTATAGAGGGAAGACTCTGTCTGGGGCAGTGGGGCTCTGTATTCTTGGTGCTTGGGGGGGGGGCAACGGCAGGAGGGCTTCTTGAGTTCTGGGCCCGCCAGGTTTTTGGCCACTGTGTGACACAGACTGGATGGGCCATTGGCCTGATCCAACATGGCTTCTCTTATGTTCTTTTTCCTTGCTGAAAGTCTGACTTTGAAGAAAAAATCAGACTAATGGAACAAGATATATTTAATTTACAGAATTCTACATGCAAAAAATATTTTCTGACTTTTGGTTGGGGAGCCATGCAGGTGATACATCCCTGTGAATGCAGTTGTGTGTAAGCTTTTTGCAACACAACATTTTTTGATAGGTAGAAGGCTAGTCAATTGTCAGGCCCCTGAAGAGTGGGAGATGGCAAGGGCCCCGTCTGTCTTGCAAACAGACATGCATAGTCCTTCCACAGTTGTTGTCCTCCCATAGTTCCAGCTCTGGGTCCAGGTTACAAATTTAAAACTGTTTTTTAATTCCTTGGGCTAGAAAACTGGCAAAACTGTAGTTAAGTGATGGGGGAGTAGAGGATTCTCCATTGTGTTATTGAGTAATTAACACATGGAATTCACTGCCGTAGGAATTGGTGGCAGCTACAGGCATAGACAGCTTCAAGAGGGGATTGGCTAAACATAAGGAACAGAGGTCCATTGGTGGCTGTTACCCTCAAGGTGTAGATGGAACTCTTAAGTCTGGGGCAAGTGATGCTCTGTCTTCTTGGTGCTTGGGGGGGGCAAGAGTGGGAGAGCTTCTGGAGTTCTGGCCCCGCTGGTGGGCCTCCCAATGGCACTTGAGTTTTGGCCACTGTGTGACACAGAGTGTTGGATCGGATGGGCCATTTGGGCTGATCCAACATGGCTCCTTTTATGTTCTTGTCCCCATAGGGCATGTGAAATTACACAGAGTGTTGTCAGGATTACTGAGATAATGTACAGGAAGTGCTATCAAGATTTTGAAAGCACTATACAGCCACTACATTATTTTTTCAGCATCTCATCCTGTTCTTTAAAACTGGTTGAAGTTCAGCATTTGTATGCCGCTTTCGCCGAGTCTCCCCAGGCAGTGCTGGAAACCAGTAGGAAGGTGGTGATGGGAGAAAGGCATGTTACAGAGCTGGATGAGACTAAAAGGCCAGATCCATTGCCTTTCTATATGTGGCAAGACCATCCATTGACACTTCATGTTCATATCTGCCAAGACCAGTGATCTCCGAGCCAATGGGCTCATGCTTTTTGGAAAGACCTGATGCTGGAGTGCATGGAGTGCACCACACCACTTGACTCTTTTTACAGACGCTCTGACAGGAGTGATGAGATGATGAGGTGAACTCATTCAGGATTCCTTTTCAGCATAGGCAGGTCTGGGCTCCTCCCTTCCTTCTCTGAAAAACGTTGTCCTTGTCTACTTCCCCCCACCAGCCACTCCCACCAGTCTGTCCTCTAATGGAGGGGTCCTGAACCTTTTTGAGCCAGTGGGCACATTTGGAATTGTGACACAGCATGGTGGGCACGACAACAACATGGCTGCCATAAAATTGCTGCCACGGGAGGCGGAGCCTGCCACGAAATGAGGGCCACACCTTAACTTCAGTCACACAGGGCAGGTCCTAGTGCTGTGGCGGCATCTGCTGCCAAAGCAACATTTTTAAAAATCTGCACAGCCAATCAGAAAGCTTGCTGGGCAGAAGCCCTACCTGGCCCCGCCCACTTCCTCAAAACACTTGGTGGATGTCATGGAACCCCCGAGCACCACTGCTCTAATGCTTCACACATGCTTGCAGCATGGAGCCCCCTCTTTCCAAGTGATGCCATAACTCAGGCTACATCCTGTCACGTGGCTGCGATGTGTCCCATGACTTCCTGTCGTGTACTTGTAGTTCCGTAGGCTCCATGCTGCCACCTAGGGGTTAGAGACCACTGAAGACCACTTGGCCTAGAAGACTCAAGCTATATGGGGCAGAGAATGGCTCCTGACATTTTATATAGCACTTTATAGTGGTCTGAGTGCTTCAAGTGTGTTCTCCATACAACCCAGTAAGGCAGACCAGTATTGTCCCCATAATCTTGCTCATAGAACTCAGGCCAGGAGAGAGCGGCTTGCCTGAGGCCCACAGAGTGAGATTATGGCCAAGATTTGTGCCAAGAAGCACAACAGCTTTGTTCTTGCACATGAAGCTGCCCGATATCGAGCCAGACCTTGGGTCTGTCAAGAGCAATCTTGTCTGCTCGGACTGGCAGGGGCTCTCCAGGACCTCCAGCAGAGGCCTTTGCAAATCACCTGCAACCTGATTCTTTTCGCGGGAGGTGACGAGGACTGAACCTGGGGCCTCCAGCATGCAAAGCAGATGTTCTGCCCCTGAGCCACAGCTCCTCCCTTCCATCTGCTCCGAGAGACAGATGCAAGTGAGAGAGATCACGTCTAAACCCACTGTAGGGAGGGGAAGCACTGACACCACTTTCTCTCTTTCCCCCCCTCCCCTTCCGCCCCACCCTGCAGGGTTTCTTCCGACGCAGCATCCAGAAGAACATGGTGTACACCTGCCACCGTGACAAGAACTGCATCATCAACAAAGTGACGCGAAACCGTTGTCAGTACTGCCGCCTGCAGAAGTGTTTCGAAGTTGGCATGTCCAAGGAGTGTGAGTGAAGGGCAGGGAGGAGGACGGGGACGTGTCTGGCTGCCAGCCTCCTGCCGCAGTGCCGAGCGACAGTGTCCTTCCCGGATTTAAAAACTCATCCAGGGCTGTTGTAGTGCCATGACTGGGGGAGAGACCGAGGGTTTGAGTCTCTGTGGGGACGCCAAAGCCACCCACTGTGCTTTCTGGGTTGAGTTGCAAGCGTAGTCTTTCTCAGTTTCTCAGACTGAGATGAGAATGGTATAAAGCATTTTCAAATAATCCGGTAGTACCAAAGGCAAAAGATGAAAGCCACAGGGATACAAGACAGAGATGTACAAAGGGAGGAGCAGATACGGGCGGGAGAAGGAGCAAAATAAATTGTAGTTTGACTTGCCCAGGCAGAGAGCCACAAAGGAGAGAGCCAATGGAGTCATCTGTTGTTTTGTTTAAAACAGGTTTCTAGTCCTCAGGATCATGGAGGTGTTTGTGTGTGTGTGTTCTTAAGAGTGCAAGAAGTCTTGTGTGCAGGAATTCCTAATGTTTAGTGAGCAGAATGCCTGTGTCTTCCTCGTAGCCTTAAGTTGTTGTTTTCCAACCACTCTATACTATATTTTCCCAATTTTTTCCTCTCCCTTTGAGGGAAAAAATGGCTATTTCTGCCCAAAAAATAAAAATAAAACTTTGAACAGCTTAAATTTCACATGGTAAATGGTTGCCTTTGGGTCAGTATTGAGGGATTTCTGTTTTGCCTAACAGATTTTTTTTTTTGGGGGGGGAGTTTCTTTCATTTCATCAGTGTTACAGAAGAGGGGATGTCAAATCTATTCCGCACAGATATTCCTACCTCTTCTCCACCGAAACCCTGCTGGGGGGGAGGGAAAAAGCGCCACTGAGTCTCAAGGATTTTTCCAGTTTTCACCCAAAAGACGTGATGCGAGGAGATCACCCCTCCTCTCCGTGCTAATTTTGAGGGTGTTTCCTCGGCAACCGGTGATTGATGATGTCAGAGATAAATGACGCAGACAGGGCCCTCCTGGCGTCTGCGATGCTTAGTTGTCATGGCTGCCGACTGTAACGGGGTGGGGAGGAGGGAACCCCACTTCGCTGTGACAACGCCAAGGGTTATTAATAAAGCCGTGGGGTAGGGAAGCGGCCCGAACGAACGATCCGGCGGAGCAGGAGGGGGGTTAGATGGACAAGGACCCAGCGGCTGATCTAAGGCGTCCCACGGTTTGCCTTTTCCTCTGTGTCATCCAATAGGGTAGGTGGAAACGGAGTGGGCAGGAAAGCTGCGGGGGGGGGGATTATCCTGACTTGGTTCTCCTGCACGGTCCGTCTGGGGACTTCCAACTACAGGACTTCCAGCTGCTGACTCTGAATATGTTTGTCTAGTTCGTTTCCATCCTCCCCTTCCTCTGTCCAAGGAGCTCAGGGCAGGCGACAGGGTCCACCCCGCCTCCGTTTTAGTCCTCACAACAGCCCTAGGAGGTACGTTAGCCTCAGAGAGAGTGGCTGCTTCAAGGTTATCCCTTTCGTTTCATAGCACTGGAACCCAGATCTTTCCTGCCCTAGTCCAGCCACTACCCCCCACAAAGTCTCTGTGGCTGGTTCTACAAAACAAACGAAAAACACTCCTCGGGAACCTGCACACGTAACTTCAATTTCACATAGTTTGCCCCATGTTGCAGGAAGCAATGTCAGAGCATGTAGGAAATCGACTTTGGCACCAAAATCGTATCTGGCAGGGTTTCCTACTTAACCAGTCTAGAGACCAAGGACTTTGTAAGTTTTATGTTTGGGGAAACTAGGGGACCTGCAAATGGCGGGTGATAGCTCTTTTTGGGGAGCAGGGGTGTGGGATTCAAGTATAGGTTAAACTATAATGAGGGCGAAGGGGGCAGGAAAAATCCAAGCTGTTTCTTCGAAGTCTGCTTTTAAGATGTCTCCCCCACTCTTACACGCATTCCGCCGTGTTTCCTATTTCCCCCTCTTGCCCATTTCTCTTGCCGTCTTTCAGTTCTCCTTATACCAGCTGCTTTTTTCTCTCCCCCCCCATCCCAACCTCTATGTGATGATGGATGTAGTGCCCCCCCCCCAACTGCCTGTCTGGGCTGTGCTTTATTGAATTTGCCAAGCAGACATGACTGATTTCCGAATTATCCCCCTCCCTCCCTCCCCCACCTCCTCCCTCAGGCAGGCTGGTGAAAATGTACCAGCCCACCGTGAGGGAAAAGCGCATCTGGTGTTGTCGCTGCCTCCCTACTTGTATTTTTTTATTATTGTTGTTGTTGTTAACCATCATCCTCAGAGGAGGAGTCATTGTGGGGGGAAAGGATCTTGCGGTCCCAAGAGGAGAGAGTCGCCTTGCTTCTGAGTACTGTGTGCGGTTTCAGCCCAAAGAGACCCAGTGAGACAGAAATGCACACAACAGGGCTTTTGTGTGGCCTCCGTTCCATGTACAGTGAGGCAATGCTCTCGTATGCGCGCACACGTCTGATACACACTGCTATGTGCGTCCACTTCCTTTTTTGTGGCCTGTGGGGCTTAAAATTGTCATTCTTGTCAGGTTTTCCTGTGTAGGTTAATGAAGTACATTCCAATCAAGAGAGCTCTTTATATTCTCTTTGTCTATTTTGATTTCTTGTCTGTTCCACTTAAAAGAATCCCAGCAGTTTACACACACAAAAATGCAGAAAAAGTCAGGGGCTTTCTGGACGGCCAAAAGTGCCCTGGAAAAGGGCCCCATGCCTCCCTGGGCCCCACCCCCTCACCTGATGGAGGACCAGGGCCCTTCATTCAAGACTATGAGTGGCTGCCTCCCTTGGCTTACCCTTGTCCAGTTGGCCCCATCAGCAATAGCTCTCAATAGGGAAGGGCACGAACCAAATTTTTGCGGTTCAGTTCATGGTTCATGGCTGAACCACAAACCAATGTCAGTTCACAAGCCAAACCAATTTATATCGATTGGTGACTCCTGGTTTCTGCTCCCCGCCGCTTTGGGCAGGGAGCAGAAAGCATGGGTTTAAATTGCTACGAGCCATTTAAACCCCTGCTTTCTGCTCTTCACAAATCAGCACGAACTGCAAGCACACCAATCTCGCTGCCCCCGTCTAGCCCAACACTGATCACGTTGGCCTGCTTGCATCTCAGGCCAGGAGAGGTTGCTCCAAAGCAGGCAAAGGTATTTTTCCTGGTGGCTGTACTGGCCAATCCGCCCCTTTAGTAAAGGCCTATATCTAAAACCAACAATCTCATATGAGTTGAGTTATAAATACAACACAACAGATGATAAAAGAGCATTCCCCTTTGGGGCTTACTCCACCACACCTAGAAGCGTCCCACACTGAAAAGGCTCTGCAGCGCTTCATAAAGATGTTTGGATACTGGTGATAGGAGGAAGTCCCACCTCTCTGCTCTCCAACCTGAATGCTGTGTGCTTCTGCTACCTGAGACAATACTTCTGTTTTGCTCCGGGATCCCCTTGCTTTCCTCTTTCTCCACCTACAGCTTCGGCTTGGCTTGGGGAAAAATGTTTTGAGTTTTCGTGGGTGCCGGCCACCCAAACCTGAGCAAAAACTGGCTTCAGGTTTCCGCGGCTCATGCTCACTCTTCCTTCTCCAGTCCCTCACTGGCAAAACCCTTCTGTCCCTCATCTCGCCCCGAGGAACTCCCCGACCCGCCTTTGGTCTCCCCAGTGTTCCCTCTAAGCTGAGCTAGTGTGAGCTAGCTCACGGTTTTCTAGCCTCCAGCTCACAGATTTTTGTCCTAGCTCAGGAAGGACGGCTCCAGAACAAACTAATGTATGCAGGAGCCAAATCACCTGCTCACCACTTTAATGCCAGTAGCTCACAAGGTAGAATTTTGGCTCACAAGACTCCACAGCTTAGAGGGAATATCCTGCCCCTCAGCCAGCCCCCATCTTCCAAGCGTTTAATTAGCTCTGTGTCTGGTCTGCTCCCTTCCTTCAGCCCACCTTTTGCAGGCTGTCTTTCCCCCACTTCTCTTTCCCCTGCGTCCCCGCTCTTCACCTTCCCTGTTCATCAGTGTTTCTGCTTCTGCCCTGCTCTCTCCCCAGGCCCGCCGCGGGATCTTTCCAAAACAAACATTCACTTCCTTTACAGAAACAGCCCTTTCTAGCTATTCTGATTTCTGACACATGAGTAGTGGTAATGTTTGCAAACACTCTGTGATATCTCAGCAGCTTAGCCAGTATTGGGGGGGGGGGCAGGTAGGAGGCATACGCAGCTAGGCATCAGGTGACAAAGTAAGAAACTGTATAATGCTTTCTCAAAAAGAAGAAGAGATTGGATTTATACCGCGCCCTTCACTCGGAGTCTCAGAGCAGCTTACAAACGCCTTCCCCTCCTGACAACAGACACCCTGTGAGGTAGATGTGGCTGAGAGAGCTCTTTCCAGAACTGCTCCTTCAAGAACAGCTCTGACAGAACTATGGCTTGCCCAAGGTCATCCAGCAGCTGCAAGTGGAGGAGTGGGGAATCAAACTCGGTTCTCCCAGATTAGAGTCCGTGCACTTAACCACTACACCAAACTGGCTCTCACAAATAAGTCTGTGGCTAAATGCTTCTGGTGCTAAAAGTGCTTGTTGGCCCCAACGACAGAGACAACAAACGCAAAGAGTTTCAGATCGTAGCTGTCTATTAGACCAACTTTGTTCATTTCCTGTGCAGCCTAACTAGTGGTGTCCACTCCTCATAAGCCCCTTTCAGTTTTGTTTAACAAGATATCAACCTTTTTAGAGAGAGCCAGTTTGGTGTAGTAGTTAGGAGCGTGGAATATAATCTGGGAGAACCGGGTTTGATTCCCCACTCCTCCACATACAGCTGCTGGTGTGACCTTGGGTCAGTCATATGTTCTTTCAGAGCTGTTCTCTCAAGGGCAGTTTCTGTCAGAGCTCTCTCAGCCCCACCTACCTCACAGGGTGTCTGTTGTGGGAAAGGGGAAGGAGATTGTAAGCTGCTCTGAGACTCTTTTGGGTAGTGAAGGGCAGGGTATAAATCCAATCTCCTCCTCTTCTTAGACAACTGTGTTATTTCAATTAGGTATTGAACAAGTTGCAAATATTTCTCAAGGAAGGGCCGTTTTCTATTAAGAAGGTCTCACCGTCTTGGAGGGCACTATTCGCTCTTTGATTCCTCTCCTTTGCTCACCCTTCCAGCCGTCCGGAATGACAGGAACAAGAAGAAGAAAGACACTCCAAAGCCGGAATGCTCAGAGAGCTACGTCATCACTCCGGAGGTGGAGGATCTCATCGAGAAAGTGCGTAAGGCCCATCAGGAGACCTTCCCGGCCCTGTGCCAGTTGGGCAAGTACACCACGGTGAGTGGTAGCCGACAGGTATCAGGCGTCCAATGTTCTGTGGTGCTCAGAGGGTTAGAATTGCAGGTGGTTGGAGCATCTCAGCCAAGACTCTGGCTGGGGGGTTCCAGACACTCTGTGCTAACAAAGCTTTCCCGTTCCCTTCCCCACAAAGTCATATTCTTCCATTGGAATAAATTTGTGCGTGCGAGTTCATTTTACATAATTTACTTCGCTGCTATTAGCTAGGGAACACGGAGCACTTCCCCACATTTTCAAGTTTATTTCAGGAGCTATAAGGGCTAGAAACTTGCATGCTGAAATTCTCAGGAGGGAAACTCCTCCATAAGACCAGCTGCTGTGCTTGTCAGCCTCAACCTGCATATTCTCTCATTGTCAAATACTGTTTGGCTCCAGTTCTTAAAAGAGCAGATGTTAGCACCAGAATAGTCCTGGAAATAGTTTTGATGGTTGAAATAAGTGAACCAAATCCTCTTTCCCCGTAGGATGACAAGTGACGTCAGGGACACTAGCCAATGTGACCTTGATATCCCGCTTCTTCAGTTGTATGAGCCCTGAATAGGTCCTGCACACTCAGTACTCAGTCTTCCAAGGAGGAAATTCTTATAGGGGTTCAAATCTACCCGTGATTGAGTCTCAAATCCATTGGACCTCCTTGTCTTTTCTTTTGCTATCCTCTCACCCTGACCCATGCTCTCTCTCACAGAATAACAGTTCGGATCAGCGGGTGTCTCTTGACATTGACCTGTGGGACAAGTTCAGTGAACTGTCCACAAAGTGTATCATCAAGACGGTTGAATTTGCCAAGCAGTTGCCAGGTTTTACCACGCTCACCATCGCTGACCAGATCACGCTCCTCAAAGCAGCCTGCCTCGACATCCTGGTGAGTAAAAATGGCTGCCCCCCACCCCACCCCCACTGTCAAGCAAGAAAGCCATTGGAAGCGTTACCCTCTAGTGGGCAACGCCTCAACCCACATCTGCACCCCATGTGTCACAATGCAAACAGGAGAAGGGCAAAATGGGAAGGAAAGTGATGCATGCTCTCTCATGCGCCCCTTCCTAGATCCTGCGGATATGCACACGCTACACCCCGGAGCAGGACACCATGACCTTCTCAGACGGCCTGACGCTCAACCGCACTCAGATGCACAACGCGGGCTTTGGGCCCCTCACGGACCTGGTCTTTGCCTTTGCCAACCAGCTGCTGCCGCTCGAGATGGACGATGCAGAGACGGGCCTTCTCAGCGCTATCTGCCTCATATGCGGGGGTGAGTGCTGTCACTAAGAGGCCATGCAGCCCATATTAAGGCCCAGTCCTAGAAACATATCCTCTGATAGAATCACAGAATCGTAGAGTCGGGAGGGACCTCTAGTAGAGGGTCATCTAGTCCAACCACAATGCAGGGAATTCACAAATACCTCCCCCCCACACGCCCCTAGTGACCCCCTGTTCTATGCCCTGAAGATGGCAAAAAACCTCCAGGATCTCTGGCCAAACCGGCCTGGAGAAAAATGGCTTCCTGACCCCAAAGTGGCGATCAGCATTTCCCTGGACGTGTAAGAAAGGGCCACGACAGCTAAGCACTGAAGATTATCCCGGGTTTCTGTCATGAAATGTGTGTAAGAAGACCAAAGAAAGCTGTGTATAAAATGCTAATGAAACAAGAAAAAACTGCAAAATATATATGTATTCTAATATGGCCTCCATATTTTGAATTCTTTATGGTGAATAAGATGGCCTGTCTATAGACCCTCGATATGCCTTGCAAAATCCTATAGTAGTATATCTTTTCGTGTTTGAAGAATAATGATTTGTTAACTGCATACAGACTTCTCTACAAGTAGGAAAAAAATGGTTATTGCAGATTGAAATTATATATTGGTCCTCCTCAGAAGAAGACTTCAGAAACGAATAGACTATCCGGAAATTTCGCCTTTGACTTTGGAACTTTTTGACTTTGGACCCTTACTGTACATGGTATAGAAGACCATGTTGTATTTACATTGTATTAGAATACATATATATTTTACAGTTCTTGGTTTTCTTATAGTCTTCCTTTGGTTTTCTTATAGTCTTAGTGTTGGAATTGCAAGTTACTTACACTTCAGCCATTACAGAGTTAAATGTTGTTTGTTACATACTTGGTTACTCTCATATATGCTAACAGCTACATCTTTCTATCTCTCTTGGCTTCTAGAAGAGAACTACCTCTTTTGGTTCACACAAAGGGCCATAAATTTGTGAATACATTAATGCTAGATCAAAGCATTTCTACAAACAAGATGTTAGTTGACCAATACAAAGGTTACAGGTCACTTCATTAGGGTAAACAACTCCCACAAACTTTCCCGCCGTTGAATACATTATGTAACGTAACATCCTGTTTGCTAACAAACAACATTTAACTCTGTAATGGCTGAAGTGTAAGTAACCTGCAATTCCAACACTTAGTGGCTGTGGTTCTCTGGTTTTGTGTTTATCATGAAATGTGTGTAGCTATAGCGCTGCACTGTGGAAACATGGGGCTTGACTCTGTGTGTGTGTCTGTCTGTGAATGAGAAACATAGGTAACTTTCCTTTGGATCTTCAGATGGCTACTGTCCCTTAAGGGCTAAAGAAAGGAAAAGCTCAGAGCGGCGCTGTGGTGGCTGCCTCTGGTGCTCGGGCGACGGTTGTCATATAACTTATTCTAACATGGTGTTTTCATGTGTCCGGGCTCCATAGGACTCTCTCTCCAAGCACCAAGAATAAGCAAGTCACAATCACTCCTGAAATAATTCCACACTTTATCACCAATGGTTAACCTTCATGTGTTTTTGGTTTAGCACCCGGGGCCTGTTCATGCGAATTCTTCCACAACGGTCTGTATGCAACAAAAATCATATTGTGGAGCTTTAAAAAAAAGTGTACAATACTCCTTACAGTTATCACCTCACTGAGAAGTAGGCACTTATCTAAATCGGGCCAGTTTGGTGTAGTGGTTAAGTGCACGGACTCTAATCTGGGAGAACTGGGTTTGATTCCCCACTCCTCCACTTGCACCTGCTGGATGACCTTGGGCAAGCCATAGTTCTGTCAGAGCTGTTCTTGAAAAAAAGCAGTGTCTTTCAGAGCTCTCACAGGGTGTCTGTTGTGGGGAGGCAAAGGGAAAGGAGTTTGTAAGCTGCTCTGAGACCCTGACTGAAGGGCAGGGTATAAATCCAATCTCCTCCTCTCCTCCTCCTCTTCTTCTTCGTCAAATTTATTTATTTATTTATTAGATTTATATCCCGCCCTCCCCAAATGGGCTCAGGGCGGCTGACAACAAATTGAGGTGGTAAGCCAGTTATTTGGGCTTCTGCCTGTATAAACTGCAGATGGGGTGGGGAGTCACATGGTGAAAGCCCCCTCTTTTCCTCCACCCAGAAAATGAGACATTGGGGAAGAAGATTTTTCTGTGCAGGGATCATTTTAAATATGCAGTCTTCTGAATCATTGCCCCACAAGAAGAAGTCACGTTCACCACCTCAGTGAGAAGTGGGCAAAGGATAAGCCAAGCTGTTGCTAAATTCTTGAGAGCGTGAGACTTTCTGTTGTTGAGCAAGCACTCCCAGGAGTAAGCATTTGCAGTAAACGAAGAGAAAGAAATGCTTTCTGGAAGATACAGACGAGGGCCAGTTTATATGCTCATTATAGTCCAGTGATTAAGCTTTTCCTGGACAGTCCCATTTCTGGCTGCCTGTGGGGAAGTTTACGTGTTTGGACGCTCCACCATTCTCTTTTGAAACTTCCTGCGCATATGTGCCAAACAGGTCAAGGGGAAGGGCTCATCTTGGCCTCCCATGGACTCCTCTGCCTTACACACTTATGCAAAGAATGTGGGTTTTTTTTGTGGAGGGGTGCCTTGGTAAATGCACACAGACAGACACCTTCCGACCACCATTGCAATTCTGAGCCTGAAGTGGAACGGTCCAGGAAAAAAACTTTACACCTTTATTTTGCTAGGGGTTCGAGTGCCAGGCTTTTAGGGTTACAACACACTTTTTTAAAAACCTGGTGGGAAATGGTTAGGGATATTTAGCCTGCTCCAACATAGCCACTGCAGACTGGGCATGTTCTGTTTTAAAAAGTGCAAAATAACAGAAATGCAGAGCTATGTCAAATATTCGGTTCCTCCCCACGTACCTGCCTTCTAATTCTAAAAGCTACGAACCAGCTTTGCTGCTCTGGTTTCCGGGAAGGGGGGGGAGCACTTGCCCTTGGCTTCTCCCAAGGCAGCTAGCCCTGGGAATTTCAACTTGGTGTGAGGGAGAGAGCTGAGAATTCCCGGGGTGCAGTCCTTGCACACAAGCCCCAAGAGCTTCCGGGAAGGTGGAAGGCGCACCCCTTAACAACACCGTTCCTGGACCCGCTGCCAAGAATTGCCCTACATACCTTGATGCATTTCATCTGCAGCACTCCGAGCTACAAACATTTGTGTGTGTGTCCTCATTAAAGCCTTGCTTATGCCTTGCCAAGTACTGGATTTTGCTGTTGCACTGCAAACATCCCCACGTATGGCCTGATGCTAGGGGAAGGGGGGGGGGAGCCAGTGCCGCCACATTCCTGCTAAACAGTGCCACTTAGTGGCGAAGCGAGGAAATGCTTTCTAGCGGAAGCCTCTCAAAAGCTTGTGGGTTTTTTGTGTGTGGATGGATGAGAAGGCATGTATGTACTCCAGGGGAGGTTCACCCCGAGCAAGGTGTACCATCCACTTCAGGATCTGTGCTAGCAGCTGGGTACACAATGTCCTGGAATTCATCCAACTCCTCCTGAGTTTTCAGTGAATAATGTGTTCCCCAATACAAGGGTGAAACGGAGTTTGCAGACAGAGTCCACGCAAGTTGTTCCCAAAGGAACTTCAAAAGAATTCCATCCAAACAATTTCAAAAGGGAACGAATTCCATCCAGACGGTTCCAAAAAGGAACTATGGGATTGCCAACTTTAGGTATACACCGCGTTTCGCCTACGTGGCTTTGTCAAGTTGGAACCGGTAGTTTGCAAAAAATCACCTTCTTGGCAGCGTTCTGTGAACTCAGTGGGGAACAAGTCCTCCTTATACCTTCATGTAGCCAGATTTAGAGGTTTCCTAAGTGTGTATTGCTTGGTCTCTGTAGCCCTAAGAACAACTAGATTTAAAACGGGATGGAGCCTTTATGAAATCTTGGAAGCAACAGAGTTGAACTACTAAATGTAATATTCTTTCTATGTTGGAAAATGCTGTTCAATGCAGTCCTTTTCTTTTACATTAATGCCTACATGTGCACACTAGAAGCAGAACCAGCCAAAAGTAAACTCTGGTTTAGCCAGCCGCCATGAGGGGTCTTTTGTACAGAGGTGCTGGCTGGAGTCAGCATTCGTAGGCATGTCTTCAATCCGCTGTGTCCTTTTGGCTCTGTCATCTCTTGTATCTGCCAGCTCTTGGTTGGGAAATTCCTAGAGGTTTGGGGGGGGGGCAGAACCTGGGGGGGGCTTGGGGAGGAGGGGCCCTGAGCGGCATAAAATGAAGAAGAAGAAGAAGAGACTGGATTTATACCCTGCCCTTCACTCAGAGTCTCAGAGCGGGTTACAATCTCCTTTCCCTCCCCCTCCCCACCACAGACACCCTGTGAGGTAGGTGGGGTGGAGAGAACTCTTTCGAGGACTGCCCTTTCAAGGACAGCTCTTGTCAGAACTATGGCTTGCCCAAGGTCATCCAGTAGGTGCAAGTGGGGGAGTGGGGAATCAAACCCGGTTCTCCCAGATTAGAGTCCGCAGTTCTAACCACTGCGCCAAACTGGCTCTGCTGCAGACTTCACCTTCCCAAGCTGCTGTTTCTTCGAGGGGAACTGATCTCTGTAGTCTGAAGACTGTAATTCTGAGAGACCTCTCCAGGCGCCAACTGGAGGTTGGCAACCCTGGTCTTGCCCTACCTTCAAGACATAAGATAAGCAAATTAATTGTTGGGCTGTGCAGTGTCTGAAGATAGTTCTGTCCCCCGTAGTTCATACTCTACGAAGTAGCCTTTCATAATAGGGCATAAACTCAGTTTTAGGAGATTGTGTGTGGATTTACTGCAGCTATTTTAAAAAGAGAGACACACACTCTGAGTGGTCCCTCCTAACAGCTCCCCCCCTCCCGTCCTCTTTTCCCCCTGTAAGTAGCCCTTGAGGAGATCTTATTCCAGTTTGTCTGAAAAAGTGTGCTTTGTACACAAAAGCTTACACTTTGAATAAAACTTTGTTGGTCTTAAAGGGGCCACTGGACTCAAACTTTGTTACACGTTATTTTATTCATCCATTCGTTCGTTCGTTCAGAACATTTGTTAGCCGTCTTTCTTCCTAAGCCTAGCGGAACGCAAAGCGGCTGGGCTCTTTTTGTAGCAGGAACACCTTTGCATATTAGGCGACACACCCCTCATGTAGCCAATCCTCCAAGAGCTTACAGAGCTCTTCTTACAGGGGCTATTGTAAGTTCTTGGAGGATTGGCTACATTAGGAGTGTGTGGTCTAATATGCAAAGGAGTTCCTGCTACAAAAAGAGCCCAACGCTTATATAAAAACACAATAAAAACAATATATATTTGTTAAAACAACAATAATAAAAACCCATTAAAAAGGTCAAAATTTGAAAACTCTAATTAGGGATGCTGATAAATAAAGACTAAATCAGTCAAGCGCAGTCCTAAATAAAACTGTCTTCAGCTGCCTCCTGAAGATCGACAGGGGGGGGGGCAGGCACACCTCCCTGGGGAAGCCGTTCCATAATTGTGGGGCTGCCATCAAAAAGGCCAACTCATGCGTGTCTACCAGACGAGTTTCTTTGATTGGTGGGACAGTCTGGAGGGCCTCTCTCCCTGTGGTCTTAATTCCTGGGCAGGAACATAGGGGAGAAGACAATCCTTCAGATACCCCCATCCGAAGGCTTATAGGGCTTTAAAGGACAAAACCCACACCCTGAATTGGCTCCGGATTGGTGCCGAGTGTAATTGCTGTAGTATCAGGATCATATGCTCCTGGTAGCTGGCCCCAACCAGCATTCTGCCGTGGCTACAGCGTCTGAACACTCTTCACGGATAGCCCCAGCTAGAACACAGTGCAGTAGTCCAGTCTAGATGTAACTAAGGCATGGATCACTGTGGCTAGATCTGATTGAATCGTAGTGGAAATCTATAAAACTATTTGATTGCATTTTTTTAAGTTACTGATTTTTTTTAAATCTGCCCTGTGTAGTTAGTCCAGGTTTTTCCTACACTTTTTGGTTGGATGCAACCCTAAGATGTGAAATAACCTGTAACCCTAAAAATTAGGCAAGTCCGTTTGTAGGGTTGGAGTCTAACACAAGACAATATTGTGTAGTGGTTGTTGAGTGTCAGACTAGGATCTGGGAGACCCAGTTTCGAATCCCCACTCTTCCATGGAAGCTCACTGGGTGACCTTAGGCCAGTCACCCACTCTCAGGCTAACCTACCCCACAGGGCTGTTGTGAGGATAAAGTAAAGAAGACAATGGGATCGGCTGCTTTCAGTCCCCATTGGGGAGAAAGAAGGAATATAAACAAATTAAATAAAGAAATATAAATGAACACACCGGGATGATTAAAAATACAGCCAGCTAGTCTCCAGAGCCCCAGGGATGGTCTTCCATACTGGCACCATCTTAGCTGATGAGTTTATAACTCTTATTGCTGCAAAAGGCATCAGAGACTCCATCTGCTTGTTGGTGGGTCTGGTCGTACCTTTGAACAGCTGCCTAAAATGTGGACATTCAACAGGGGCTGTAATTTTCCCACCCAGTTCTGTCCATTGAGCAGTTGTTGAAAACACATCTCAAGGTGTGCGGGTGACGAATGCTAAGTATTGCCCTGTGAAGCATCCAAAGGGAGAGAGAGATTTCTGGTGCATCTTGGTTCCTTGGTTTCCTCCCCAACGAACTTGAACTGAATAGCCCTTCATATAGGAGGAGGAGGAGATTGGATTTATACCCCGCCCTTCACTACCCAAAGGAGTCTCAGAGCAGCTGACAAACTCCTTTCCCTTCCCCTCCCCACAACAGACGCCCTGTGAGGTGGGTGGGGCTGAGAGAGCTCGGACAGAAACCACTCTTTTTCAAGAACAGCTCTGACAGAACTATGGCTTGCCCAAGGTCATCCAGCAGCTGCAAGTGGAGGAGTGGGGGATCAAACCCGTTTCTCGCAGATTAGAGTCCGTGCACTTAACCACTACACCAAACTGCTCATAAAGCACTTGTATACATGTGATAATCTGTGTGTGCATAAACTGTGTATTTTCAAAAAGTTTGTTTCCCCTGCATGTCGGCTTGAAGGAAACTGGTTATTCCGGCTGCAGAAGTGGGTTCCTTTGTCGGGGCTTTATCCCCTTACTGACTCTCTGCTTCCCCAACTCCCTCTGCCCCTAGACCGGCAAGACCTGGAACAGCCGGACCGCGTGGACAAGTTACAGGAGCCGCTACTGGAGGCCCTGAAAATCTACGTGAGGAAGCGAAGGCCCAGCAAGCCTCACATGTTCCCCAAAATGCTAATGAAAATCACAGACCTGCGAAGCATCAGCGCAAAGGGTAAGGGGGTTGGGGCTGCAGGCTCTGAGTAGCAGCCTCTTTTCCTTCCTTTTAAGACTTCGATCTTTCCAGAGTTGGAACCTGCTGTTAACCTCCAGGTGGAAGGAACCGCAAGTGTAACAGGAAGGCAGAGTTATGACCTCACCAATGTCTGGGCCAGTACCATGAGCAGGAGACAGGAAACATGGATAGGAAATGTGGATCAAGCACAAGGAAGTGTAATGTAGTGAGGAATAGGCCACAGGTCACGTCTATGGAGGAATCTCCTTCACTGTTAGGTAGCCTCCACCTCCTGTTCCTCTCCAAATACGTACAGAATAGGGTTGCCATGCAACCAGTGGGAAGGTTTGGGCAGGGCTATGGGGGGACAGTACGAACATGATGGTGTCAATTCCAGAAAATCCCAGACGTGTGGCAGTAGCTCTAGGAATCGGCAGAAACTCTATGGTTTTACCATAGGATTTCCAACAATTCCTGGAGCTACTGCTGTCACTTCCAGGTCTTCTCCAGAAGTGACCTCATCACACTCACAACCAATGTTCCCTCTAAGCTCCACAGTGTTGTGAGCAGAAATTCTACCTCATGAGTGAAAAAAAGCTAGCAGCATTAACGTTGTGAGCAAGTCTACATTTGACTATTGCATAAATTAGTTTTTCAGAAGACTACTCCCATAACCTCGTAAAAATCTCAGAATAAATTATTTTAAATTATATTTAAACTATATTTTAATAATATTTTAAGCATTATAAGAGAAAACCGAATCAAGTCAAATTTCACCCACCCCTTTCCACTATATTGATAGAGAACATTTCCATGTTTTTCCATGTTTTTTAGGTAGAGGCACCAAATTTGCAGCATAGCTCCTGGTGCCTCTCCTCAAACCCCCCCCCCCCAAAATTTCAAAAAGATGACCAGGGCTCCAATTCTATGGGCTCCAGAAGAAGGTGCTCCCATCTTCCATTGCTCCCAGTGGAGTGGGGGGAAATGTCTTCTGAGCAGAAGCTCACAACCCCTGAGCTGCCTGTTAAAATTTTGTGCTCCAGCACCCCCTAGCGCAGCTTAGAGGGAACCGTGCTTGCAGTACCTGTCAGCAGTGTTCCCTCTAAACTGAGTTACTGAGTTAGCTCACAGTTTTTTCACCTCCAGCTCACACATCTTTGTCTTAGCTCGAGAAGGAGTGCTCCAGAGCAAACTAATTTATGCAGCAGCCAGATCGCTCGCTCACAACTTTAATGCCAGCAGCTCACAAAGTAGAATTTTTGCTGAAAAGACCCCACAGCTTAGAGGGAGCATTGCCTGTGAGGGTTTTTTTTTTTTTTTAATTGTCCCCCGCTGTCACTTGGAGCAGCAGCAGGCAATGGACGCTTGGGGTGGGGGAATTCCCCACTCTGAGTAGGGGTTTCTCAGGCCTGGAGCCCTGGGTGCGGTGGAAGCAATTCCTTCAAAAAGCCAGAGGATCCCAATCTGAATGAGGAAACCTCCAGTTAAAGAATAGCATGCCGCTTTTCATTTTCTCGTTTCTCCACCCAGCCATCCCAAGAGGTGGAGGGAACGGGCAAAAATTCATCAATGCCCAACAAGAGGAATTTTTTAAAAAAATCTGATTTATAATGGTCAGATAACCACACAGGCCAATATGATTTGAAGCACAGTTCCTTTTTGGCGACAAATATTGCTGTCGGTCTCAGGAGCCAGAGCCAAACCAATTCACAACAGCCTCCCTCATATGTTACAAAGTTAAGCGTGCTCCTAAGGCCTTTTTAAAGCACAGCTGAAACATGAGAGAGGTGAATGGGCAACAGAAAACATGATGCCGTTGGGGCACATGAGCTGGATTATTTACTGCTCCCTGTTGAGTATGTGCACACACACGCACACACGGCTCAGACAAATATCCATGTTCATAAAATGCTCTGCTAAATAACATTTTTTCAATATCTCACTATCACCCAACACACAGCCTCAGTTTGCGCCTCAGGACATTCATGAGGGAGTTTAACCCTTCAGTCTCCTCTCACTGTATCAAACCAGCTCTCCCCTTTCATGCTTTGTTAGCATTTTAAAGGCAATGTGTCTTTTAAAAGCACACTCCCACCCTGTTAAAATGCTGGTAACACAGCAAAGGAATTTAGTTTTCAGTAGAGGAACATGGAAGTTGAAGGGTTAACACCTTCCCCCCCTCCCTTGCACAGCCCCAAGGCAAACCGAGGCCGCATGAGCCTGCAATTTGCATTTTGTGGTGAGACGGGTGAACTTTGTCTGTTGCAGCCCAAGCCATTAAAGAGTCTGAAGTCATTACCAAAGTGTGGGACACTGGGCAATGATGAGGAGAGATGATCCCAAGGCGATCCATTTATGTTCAGTATTCTGAAAGCAGTTCTCCTCTCTTCTTGCAGGTGCTGAACGGGTGATCACGTTGAAGATGGAGATCCCTGGATCTATGCCGCCCCTCATCCAGGAGATGTTGGAGAACTCTGAGGGCATGGACACTTTGGGGGCCCCAACGGGGGCCCCCTCCCGCATAGGCAGCCTAGCCCCACCTCCCGGCAGCTGTAGCCCCAGCCTCTCTCCCAGTTCCAACAGAAGCAGTCCTGCCACGCATTCACCATGACCATTCTAGCCACCAGGACAAGCTGTGTGACCCCCCCAACCCCCGCTACACACTTTGGTCTTTTGTTCCCCGGGAAGCCCGGACACATGTTTGAGGATCAAGGGAAGGGGTAGGGGGAAGCAGCAGGGCGGCATGCTGCCTCAAGCATCTCTCCCAACACCCTCCCGGTATCACATGGTTGTGGTCAGGCCTGAGGGGAGGGGGGGCAGGCTCTATGTACCTGTTCCATACCAGCACACTATCTTTTTGTTCGACCGTTCCAAGAAAAAAACAAAAAACAGGGTTCTGCTTGCTATAAAGACCCGATTTTTCCCCACTGGGGAGGCACAGTTCACATGCAAGGAGTTCTGAATTCTCTGAAGACAGACAGACACGTAGACCTGAAAGACAGACGCTCAAAACCCAGGAGTGAGACTTTGAGAAGGAAAAGAAAAAAAGAAACCTGAACAGTTATGGAAAAACTCACCTCCTTTGTGGCACGCACCCCCTGCCCCCCACTCTTCCCTTCACCCTGTTGTGAGCACACACACACCTCCAAGAAGGGGTTGCCGCCGCCGGCTTCATGTTGCAGTGAAAATGAAGTGGTGTTTTCTCTGGCTGTTTGCTTTTCAGATGTTTCAGGGGGAAAGGTTGTAATGTTTTCTGTTTTGTTTTGTTTTTTAATTGCTCAACCCTGTTTTTGTCCTCGAAGTACCCAAACTCCCCAACTCCGTGTCCTCTCACACACGCCTAAAAATGTCACCAGCAAATAAAAGACAAAAATAAAAGTAAAATTAGTTCTTCAGGTTAAAAAAAAAATACACAGAACAAAGGAGGGAAGGGTTCATTTAAAAGAGAAGAAATATTATATATATAAATATATAAAATATATAAAATTATGTTTTAAAAAGAAAACTTTGTAAAAGTTTGGCATTTGAAGGGTTTTTAAAGGAAGAGGTTAGCAAGGAGAAAATCAGAAAGCAAAAGCAACCCAAGGTTCTTGTATGGAGCTGGTCACAATTTTCTCTTAGATAAAAACGTTGAAAAAAGAGGAATTTAGGGTCTGATTCTGCCCTAGTGAAGTGGTTGAGATTGCAATTCTATGTAGAATTTGCTGCAGTCCAAGCCTTTGGTTTCACTGATTTTAGACTGGGGTTAACTCCGCACAGGATTCCACTGTTAAATGTCTCATATATTTCCGAGTGGGATGAGGGAGATGCAAGTATATGTTTCACTCTGCTATTAAAACCAATGTTAGTCGATGGTGCTTCGATGGGGTTTTGCTCTTCCTTCCTTAACTGCTTGCACTGACCACAAATATTTGGGCCCAGTCAGTGATAACAAAGCTAAAATCTGTCAGTTTTTGACATGTTTTGTACAGCAGACAATTTGGGCTTTGAGTTCTGTGGTAATTTAAAAGGCCTCCCAATTTTCTGTAAACAGGAAGGTTTAGAAGATCATACATTCTTTCATGTTTTCACTTTAAAAAACAATAACACTCAACCTTGATTCATGTTTTTTTAAAAACTGGAAGAAATAATCTGAGTTGTTGAGGGCTTTTTGTACTCTACAGTATTTTGTGAGGAGAAAATGTTTTTTCCCTCTTCCCCCTTGATTCTTTGGCCTTTGTTCCATTTTCCTGTGTTCTGGGCAGGATAGTTTGCTTTCTTTTTTATTTTTTTGAGAGTAGACAGGGGGAACAAAGGCACAGATCCAAAATGTTGTTTCTGGGCGCTGGCACAAGCCCAATATGACACCCCCCACTTTAAACAAGTCAACTCTATCCCATGTTTACAAACTCCTTCCCATGCTGGTGGGGGGAGAAGGGGGTGCCATTCAAAGAAGACCAGGCTAGTGGTCTCGGGGTCTCACAGAATTATTTCCAAGGTTTCTGGGGATTCTGGCCAAGAAATTTCAAAACAGCTGTAATCCCGATTTATTTAAAGCTTTGTTTTTTTTGTGACCTTTTTTAAAAAAAATTGTGACCAGCCACAAAAACTCTTATGTACTGGGTTAGGGGTGGAGAGATGTCTGAGGGCAAGTGGGTTCCCCTTGGAATTTATTATTGAATTTTTCTGTCAAGAGGTTTTAGTGGCTTCAGAATCTACAACATGAAACCTAAAACAAAATAGGAAGGGGGAAGCCTAAAACAAAATAGGAAGGGAAAAAATTTCCCCTTCCCCTGGAAACTCCTCCCTCAGTTTGAAGGGCCTGTGCTCCATACTTCTCAGATATGTATATAAAGCTGTTGTTATTTCATATAAAAAGATTCTGGTGAGTTTCCATCTTCCCTTAATTGCCGCATTTGAGAGGAGGGGTTGAAGAGGTGTTTGTGTGTGTGTGTGTGTTGTGTGTGTGCAAAATTCGCTCCCCCCCCCCCCCGTACTGTGATGATGGACTGCGGCTTCAATAGCTGTGACAGCTTTGGGTTCATTTTCTCTACTAATAACTATCGGTTGTGTTGGCTGAATGGAGCCTCCATGTACAGAAGCAGTGTATCTCAGCAATACCAAATGCTGGCATCAACTGGGGGAGGAGGCTGTTTCTCTGTGCTTTCGACCTCCCCAGAGAGGTCTACCTGGCTTGTGTCAGGACCAGAATGCAAAGAACTAGATTGATTTTTAGTGCATGACTGTTCTTCACTGCATCAAATACAAGGTATTCGGGGGAGGTAATTGAATTACCTCTGAAATGTATTCTGAGGCACATGGGCTGGGGCTGTTTTAAAAGAGAGAAGAAGAAGAAATTGGTTTTATACCCCGCCCTTCACTACCCGAAGGAGTCTCAGAGTGGCTTACAAACTCCTTTCCCTTCCCCTCCCCACAACAGACACCCTGTGAGGTAGGTGGGGCTGAGACAGCTCTTTTGAGGACTGCTTCTTTCTCTGAGGTGGAGGACATCTTGTGGGTGATTCCCATCCATCACTTAGGGAGGCAGGACTAATTTCAATTACTTCCTGTTTCCTGTGGTGGGAGTCACCCTAGGCTCAGTTCTTTTCCTGCCTCAGAAGGGAGAGCAGCTAGCTGTAGGCTCTGCCTAGCCCTATCTCTCTGAGTTAACTTACTTTCACTTTCTCCTTCCATCTTTGCTGTTCCCTCTCTCTGAAGAAACTTAAGAAAAATCAAATCCTTTTCTTCTTCCTATATGTTATCCTCTTTTCTCCCTCCCCTCCCCCTTTGGAGGTTGAGCATTGCCGGGCCGGTTGCTCTCTTAATGGGAGGGGGATCTCACAGACCGCCTTCCATGGCATTGAGGATAGCAATGGATTTCTCTCCACTCTGGAGATAGAGGCTGTGGCGGTGGCCGACGCTCAGCCAGCAGAGCAAGGCGAGGATGCCATTCCAAAGCATGCCAAACAGCTGCACACTCCTGCAGCATTTATGGAGCCCACAGCAGCCTCAGCGGCCATTTTGGAGTCCACTGGCCACTATGCTTTAAGACGGGAATGGCGAGCAGAGCCTAATCCCGCACATGGCGCACCCCGAAACCTATGGTTCAAGGGGGTTCATCGAGCTAGGCGTGATTGTGCCAATAATGCTCAAGGGGCCAAGGAAGATGACGAGTTGCAGAGCGGTGAGCAGAGCCTAATCCCGCACATGGCGCACCCCGAAACCTATGGTTCAAGGGGGTTCATCGAGCTAGGCGTGACTGTGCCAATAATGCTCAAGGGGCCAAGAAAGATGAC